TTTGCGACCAGTTGCTGGCTTCTAAGGCTGAATTTATCCAGAAGTATGCTGTATTTTCGTTTTCGTGCCGAATGCCACGCGATGAAATATTATCGGCTTGTTCTGCTGTCTTGTTCTGTTTTTTTCTCTTGGTCTTTTTTGTAGCCCGCCGAGGCTAGTCTTTCGCCTAAATCAATTGAAAAAAAGTCGAAAAATATGTTCCCATTCAAGTTTAAGCTCTCAGGCGATAATTCTGGAGTTTTTTGGCTGAAACGTCGGCTTTGTTATGTTCGTGTTTTTCGGTTGCTATGGGCGACAGTTGCTTCCTTTGTTGGGAGTGAGGTCACAAAAAATCCTAATTAATTCTGGTTTTGTTCGATTTCGCTGAAATTTTAACATGATAAAGCTGGATTGTTAGGGAATGCCGGTGAGTGGTAGCTATTAACGCTAAAGTGATATATCGCTTTGAAGTCAGAGTTTTGAAGAGATTTTTTGCAACCTGTGGGTTCGGCGTGATTTTGTAATCGGAGGTTTTTGTTGACCCCGAAGGAAAAAAAATCCGGAAAAGGTCATTTCATCGACGATTCAAACGAATATAAATATGTATATGTTCCGAGCTAAATTTCTGGTGAAAAAGTATAATTTTTGACGAGCGCTCGGTTTTTAATTTTTTCACGTGAAAGTCAGTATCGGAGATGAGATTCATTAATGTTTCAACAACTTTTGGCGAGTAAACATCACAGGTTGCGTGACTCAAAATTTGGCCCAGTGGAAGCTTGTGTCTGCTCGCCGACAAATCTACAAAAAAAAAAACCACGGGTAAACCATGAACCGCGCGCGGTTAATAAATCAGATCATGCCATAATGTGGCTATACACTTCGTGTAAGCCACACAAAAACGCACGAGGTTCTGAAATACGATCTGACGGAAACGTCACTAATATCTAACCTAGACAGTTACAGTCAAACTAAACGGCCAAAGGACTAAAATGGTCGTGGACACAGGCTGTAAGTACAATATAATATCTTCAACATTGTATCGAAGTAAATTTAAGAACTTCGAACTGTCTCCAAATTACAGCGTATGGACAAAAGGAGTCATTCCAATGTAAGGGCTCTTTTAATGCTTGTATTAGAACGAGTAACAATGTTATCAATGAAAGTGAAGAATGATCATCGCAGTAAATTTTCCAATTTAAGCAATTGGGAAGGAGAATTTGGAAATACAGTTAANATGTGTGGTAGCTATTAACGCTGAAGTGTTATATCGCTTCGAAGTCAGGGTTTTGAAGAGATTTTTTTTGTAACGTGTGGGTTCGGCGTGATTTTGTAATCGGAGGTTTTTGTTGACCCCGAAGGTAAAAATATCCGGAAAAGGTTATTTCATCGACGATTCAAACGAATATAAATATGTATATGTTCCGAGCTAAATTTCTGGTGAAAAAATATAATTTTTGACGAGCGCTGGGTTTTTCAACAGCTTTTGGCGAGTAAACATCACGGGTTGCGTCACTCAAAATTTGGCTGAGTGGAAGCTTGGGTCTTGTCGCCGACAAATCTACGAAAAAAAAAAACCACTGGTAAACCATGAACCGTGAGTTTAAACTCAAATTTCCATGATCTCTCAGTCTAAGACTTAATTCGCTTTTCATCAGGACCTACACCAAGATCATGAAGACTTGAAGACACTTGGAAGACTTAGAAAACCAGCTCTGTAAGCCTGACGAAGATATCCAATAAAGTTTACGCTGCTGTGAAACAAAATCTGCTTCACGACATGTAACTCATTTCAAGAAATTGTCATGATATATTGTCGAGAAACCAGATTTCCTTGTGAGCTATTTAGTAAAAAAAAATGATGTATCATAACTAAAAAAGGAAACTCTATAGCTCAGCAAGGACCAGAAAAGAGAAGTCAAAATCAAAATAAAGTCATTTCCTTGCAGCTTCGGGCAATGATTTGATGATGACAAACCCGTCCAGTTTCTTTTGAGCGCCGGTTGTAGGTAATTCTCACCATACCAGTTAGTTAACTCATAATCAGTCTCTTTCACGGTTTTAAACTGTTCATTGTTAATGGTGACAAGAGAAGAACTCTTCATCCATTCGGCATGAGCTTCATAAAAATCAACATAACCGCGTTCTCTCCAGTCGAGTGACACTGGCAGCATACCCTTCACTGCTTCCTCCAGCTCATCGCTAAACAACGCATTCCCGTCTACATCATCGGGCCCGTCAAAGTAGGCAGTCGTATTTACGTCTATATAAGGCGGCAGAAGCAAGTGGGCCCTCTGCATATCGAAGGATTCTCCCACGTAATACTGATTTCCAAGCAGTTTTTGAAGAGCGGAAAACGTTAAAGTGTTTCGGTAAAAAGACGACTCTGGTAGAGCAATATCAATGTCAAATGTCCATGGAATAATGGCCTGACTTCTGACAGCGCCTAACAGAGTTCCATAAACTACACGGTATTCCACACTAAGTGTGTTCAAAGCCCATTTCAAATCTCTCAGCATTTTTCCTAAAACGGCGCTGCAGCAGATGGGTGCTGCTATGCTGGGAAGGTCTCGTGGCCTAACGTATGGTTTTTCCGAGCACAATTTCCAGTTTGCTACGCAAGCTGTCCACTCGATTCTGTTTTCTGTTACAATGCGAAGAATCCTGTGTTTGTTAGCAAAGGATGCATATTCGAGAACTCTGTTTGATCCTTCCAGAGCTCCTCGATCCGCGCGCTTAATCTCGGGTGTCCACACGCAGTTTGCCAGCTTAGCCATCTTCAATTCGCCCTTTGATCGAAGAAAGAACTCCAACAGGGTCATTCTTCCAAAACCGTCTAGTAATCCTCCTAGTTTATGAAATATATCTTTTCTTATCATGAATGGCCCTTGTAGAATGTTACAACTTTGTATTGCAGTCAGTTCCGAATCCACCGAGCTCCTAGATTCGACTGGTAGGAAATTCTCTTGAACCGGGCCTGTGTCTCTAATGTGAACGCTCCAGTTTTTTGTGATAAATCGACACCAAGACGAATCCACCGATATATGTCCGACGGGTTTTCGTTCTTTGTGTTTCGGTCTATCTCTTTCTGTGCTGTGTGTTAAAGGCTCTTCCAAACAAGTCGCGCCGTGGAATTCCTTCATTGAACCAAGAAAATGGCTCAACTTCAAAATAAATCGTTTATCATTCTGAGAAATGTCAGCGCTCTGTTTCGATGAAAAAGGAAAAATTACCAAGAGGGAAATATTGTCATCCGCCATGTTGAATATTGCGCCGTCGGAATACATCAAAGCGAGCGAATCAGGCATCCATGGCAGAGGTACAGTGTCATTAGTAGTGAACTTGTCATCTTCCGTTTCGACAGTTTTATATTCAGGAATAATGCTACTCGCGTTTTTAATGCGGCTCGCTAAAACGGAGTAGCAAATAAACAATGCTAGAAGTAGTAGCAGCGCTAATTTCTGCTCACGTCTTTGTAAGCAAACGTGGCGATAAAATGTAGACAATTTAGTTCTTACTTGCCCAATAACTCCAGCAACGGATTTCATTACGCTGTAACTTGGACTGGTTTTACAGGACATCACCACAGGGTGAATCGGAGTCTTATTTGACCGTTATTTCACTTAATTGATATTCACCGACCTAGCTCGAAGTAGTTTCTACTGTCGTGTTCCGGTGTCTGTAATCTTGAAAGCACTGTCGGAAACGTCTGGTTAGCATGTTGCGTGACAAATAGGGCGTGGAGATTTCA